GGTATATGCCACCCCCACCCTGGGTATAGACCCTTGGAGCTCTGCTGTCCAAGGAGGCCTGAGAGCCCCCAGCTCAGGAAGGAGACTGAGGTGATGTGTAAGGAAGTTCTGATCCTGGCTGTGGGGGACTGAGGACACTGACTCAGATGCACCCAGGCCTAGGACAGAAGAGCAGTGGGTGTTGCTGCTTGGAGCTGCTGCAGGAGGTGGTTCCAACCTCACCTCTGTTAGGTACTTCCCAACTTGGACAGCCATTTTGTGGTTCAAAACTGGCTTTTCTAAATGCTTTGGAAATCTTAGGCTTAGGTGGCATGCTTGGAGATTTGTGGAGATTCCACGCATGGAAGCACTGGATGGCATCAGCCTTAACATTTGGGGTCACCAGAGGGTTCCCACAGTAGGGCGCTGAGCAGAAGACAGCGTTGCTTTTGCTCCCAGTGTTTTGAGGCTCATTTTGAGGTTCCATCAGTGATGTCTGGGCAGGCTCCAGAGGTGCTTGGTCACTTGATACTCACCCAGATATTGCAAGCCCTTGTCTGCCTTGTCATGAGAAGCACTGAGCCTGCATCAGCAATAAACAATAACACAACAACTGGACTTGAGCCTGTGGAAAATGCTGTGCTTTGCCTCATGAGAAAATGTTTTAAGATCTACTGGTACAAAGTGCACAAGAGGTTTTATTTCACATTTGCCCTCTAGCTCCTCAAATGCAAACCTTATCCCCAGCTGCACTGTTTTCCCCCAGTTTTCTTCTGAGCTCCAGGAAATGTCCAACAAAGCTCAAGTGCAGCATCACAGGTGCCCAAGAGCATAAAGCGACAGCCAAGAAGTTTGTAAATAGTTCCCTAAATCAGGGAAATATACCTCTGGATACTAATTTTATGATAGAATGGGCTTATTTTGGTGAAGTTAAGCCTGCTCCTACATCAAATAGGAGGGGGCAACCCCAGCCAAGGCTAAGGTCATATTCAGTCAGTTTAGCTAATTCAGAGCAGTTTGGGTTACACCTGAGTCATTTTATACCTGTTTTTTTTTCCTCTTACTTTGTATAATCTCTTCGTCTGATTGCTGGAGATGGCCTTAGGCTTTGTGTTCCCTGTGGGAGCAATGAAGCACAGTACCAAATGGGACTTTAAGGGGATGGCTGCAGGGAGAAAATGTGTCCCTGCACCTCTCTGTTTGTCAAGCCAGCTGCACATGGCCTTGGAGACAGCAAGTAAAAGAGCAACTTTGAACTTGGAAGGTCTTTATTCATCAAAAGCTCAAACCTCTATAAACTAGTGATGGTGCCCCTCTGGTTAGTTGTCCTTTTTAATTATTATCATTCTAATTGATATATTAACAGAGAAAAACAGACAGCAAAGGCATTTTTGATTTACAGGTCAAGGCCAGCAACAGTTGAGAACCTGCTGTATGAAGAGGGCAGGTGAAACATGGAGGCTGGGGAAGGAGGTGACAGTTGCCTCCCTCTGCCCTGATACCAAACTCCCCCAGAGACGGGCAAGCAGGGAAGGAGTTGCCCCATGGATGCCCCAGGGCCATCCTGTGCATCCCTGAGTGGATCTTTGCTGCTGTCCTGGGTTCTTTGCTGAATTAGAAGGGAAAAAAGCTGGTGCCACTATCTGGTTTCTGGCAATTATGTTTTGGAGTGGCAGCATTTGGAAACTGATGTTTAAATGTTTTAATTCCTTGCAGGAGATGCCCTTGGAAAAAATCCTCTTTTCTTGGTTCATGTGATTTCTGAAGAGACAGGGAAAATAGGACTGGTATTTTTTTGTAAAAGTCTTTGTAAATAGTATAACAATTGGTAAAAAAACAAATGCAGATGTTCCACAAGGACCAGAAGAGCCATTTATTTCCAATCCAGAAAAAAAGTTTTAGTTAAATCTGAATAGATCACACCTATGTATGTATTTTGTTGATGGGAAATAAGTAATAAACCGTGAAGTGTCAACTTACTGGGTGTGAGAGGTGCTTTGACTCCCTTATGAGAATTAACACATGCAGATCAGGCTATATCTGATTAAATAGAAAAGAGAAATATTGGTTCTTACAGTAAGAAATAACTAGTTTTCCATGTTTATTTTAGAACAGAAATTCAATTTTTAGAATAGATATCAAATAGCTATTGTCTAATATAGACAATATAATATATATTTGATTTAGAGTCATAGTAAGTGAAATGGTGAAAAATGCAAATGAAATTACATCACAGCCAGGGCATATTATATTCCATGTTTATTGCAGAGTTACATACACCACGTACAACTGCTAATGAATATGAAAATCAGACAGGAAATAAGAAGAGTGATGGGGAGTGACTTTCTGACATTTGCACCAGCGTTGTCCATTGCAGTGGCTGCTGCTTTCGCTGTTTCCCTTTTGACTATTGTTAGAACAAACCTGGATTGTACCAGCAGGAACACTTGGCTGAAATCCACACAATACGCAAATATGTTTTCCAAATAACTCCAGCAGCTTTGTTTATGCCTGCTTAGAGGGACAGCCTAACAGATGTGACAAGCTACTGACTTAAAACCAGGTATTGATAAATTTATTAAGCAGTTGCAGCAGCTTCAGCACAGGCTCACAGGAGGCTGGATGCACAGGCAGCCATGGGTAGATCCCATACTAATGATCTGTTTATCAGAGACTATCACTCTTCTTTCTCTGTCACAACTGTTTAGACTGTGAAGCTTTCACAAGCTTCATGTGTCTGCACCAAACTAGCAAGATTTTGCAGATGTCACCTCCCTCCCAGAAAAGGGTTTCCATGGATTTTCCTGATCTTTTCTCAACTTGCCCTTAAGCTCTCTCCTTTTTCCTCCCCTCCCCTCCGCTCCCTTCCCCTCCGCTCCCCTCCCTCCTCAACTCGCCTTTCCCTTGCCTTCCTGCCTTCCCTGCCTGTCTGCCTTCTGTCCGGGGCAGGCAATCAGCAAGCAATGCCCGAGACTGCAGGGTCCCTGTAGAACCGAAGCCGATGGGACGTCGCGAGCATTCCCTGGTACCACCCCACTGCTGGGGTTTTAAAGTTGTGGGTTTAGGCTACGGTTCCTGGGACGGCTTTCTTTCCACTCTGTTAAGTACAACCTGTTCACATGTTTAAAAATGAATGGGTTTAGGTCCCTTCCAAACTTCAGTTGGTTAATTGTGGTTTCATGCCTTCGTAAGTACAAGACTCCAGGGTCAGTTGTGGTTTCTGTCAAATCACCGATTTTCTTTCCTGTGATTGTCAACATAACTAAGCTTGTACCTCTTTAAAAACCAGATCATCTTGCCACGCTTTCCTTTTTATCATTCGTTATTTGTGCTTTTCTTTTACACACCTCTCCACCCCCCCTTTTCTCTCTTTTTAAAATTATAATTTCTTTCTCTCTGCCTGTCACAGTTGCTCTGCACCTCTAGTCCATTTTCCCTTGTATTTTATAGCCTGCATGGCATTGACACTAAGGATAGCCTGGCTGCACCTGGACACAGAGTTCCTGGGAATAAATAAGTGCTATTTTTTTTTATTTACAACATCCCTCCCTACACAATTGAGTACCAACCACCAGAGACAGCAGTGCCAGGCCTGGTTATTTCTGAGGAAATACCCCAAACTTCATTTATTTCCTAAGTATTTGTTCTGGTGGGTAGAGAGCATTAACAAAAAGGCACCACAATCTCACAAGTGTAGTTTGCTGCCTGCATTACTCTAGTAAGCAGGCAAAGAGGATATTTATAACAGGGATACAAATGACTTTCCTGGAAAACCAGACCATTTCCACAGAGTCTGCCACTGGGAGCAGAGGCTTGCTGCTGTGGTGTCTGAGGCCAGGCAGGAGCAGCCCAAGCCTGAAGCTCCCTGCAGGAACACTGTCACCCCACAAGCAGTCAGTGATCAGTGAGCCCGGTCCCGACTGTGAGGGACCTGCCCTGGACACCCAGCACACGCAGAGAGCAGAGCAGCGCCAGGGCTCTCTGAGGAAGGGAGCGCAGCACCCTAGAAAAGGGGGGTTCAGGGCAGCAACCCACCAGGGCATTTCCCTCCCTTCTCCCACTCACATCTTGTGTTCAGGATACCTATGCAATTGCTTTCAGGGAAATTTCTGCCAGGCAAGTATTTGTTTACCTCGTAGCACAATTTAGTAACTATTGATAAAGGAAAGCCATTATCAGGACACCACAGGCACGCAGAAGAAGCTCCATGTCCACATATTAACGTGATAAAGCTTTTTTCCCCCCTTGGCCTACATACATTTACAAAGAATACTGTTAATAATAACTTGTCTAAAAAATCCCACAAAATAATAGCTGTTCTTTTATGATAACATTTTAATGAGACAACTGCTTCTACCAGTATGAAGCCAACAAGAAGAAAAAGAAAGCTTAATGTGTATTCAGTGAGATACGAGACTTTTTCTGTCTTTAGATTTTTTTTTATTCAGTGACTCAGAGTTACAGATTGTTTGGAGAACTGGTCATATTTTTAAAACCTGGAAAAGGCTTGGGTTCAATTCTGCCATCTTGAGATCTCAGAGCTAGCTATTGAATTCTGTTGAATTGATCTAGACAGGCTGGATCGGTGGGCTAAGGCCAGTTATATGAGGCTCAATAGCCTAAGTGCTGGGTCCTGCACTTGGGCCACAACAACCCCATGATCATATATCATAGCCCAGCGCTACAGGCTGGAGGAAGAGTGGCTGGAAAGTGGCCCAGTGGAAAAGGACCTGTGGGTGGTGGTTGACAGCAGCTGTACATGAACCAACAGTGTGCTCAGTTGGCCAAGAAGGCCAATGGCATTCTGGCTTGTATCACCAATAATGTGGCCAGCAGGACCAGGTCAGTGTTCCCTTGTACTTGGCACTGGTGAGGACACACCTTGGGTACTGTGTCCAGTTCTGGGCCCCTCAGTTCAGGAAGGACATTGAGATGCTGGAGCACCTCAATGGAGAGAAGGGCAGTGAAGCTGGGGAAGGGTCTAGACAGTAAGTCAATGAGGAATGGCTGAGGTGGCTGGAATTGTTTAGCCTGGAGAAAAGGAGGCTCAGGGGGGACTGCATCACTTTCTACAACTACCTAAAAGGAAGAGGAGTTAACAGAGAACCAAGGGCAAGTGTTGACATACCACCAGTGATGTTCCTGTAAGCACAGTCCCACTTCACGGATTCTGGTCCAGATTTACATCACTATAGCCAGGAAGGTAACAGGTAAAATTCATAGATGCGACGATCCTCTGGAGAAATCAGTGCTGCAGCTCCTTCTAGCTTTTTCTCACAACGAGCCTCCTTCCTAAATTGTACAGATGAAGTCTGCATTTAAAATCTTTTGGAGCAGAATTAGTGGGTTGGCTCTTGACTTGCAGTGCAGCGTTACACAGCAGTAACTCCTGAGTGTAGTCCAGCATGTTTGGTGACGGGTCTTGTTTGTGGCAAGATGGGTTAACTTGGCATATTATTTGCACACGCAGTACACAACGAGACACAGTGAACACATACCACTAACATCTGCCATACACTACACATCTATCACAAGGAAATGATCTGGAATATCTAAACTTTTACAAATACAGAGAACTGGCTGCTAGCATATAAATAAGAGACCTTCTTTGATCACATGGGGCAGGCCAAAAGGATTAAACCCAGAGGCTGCTGTGCAGTGCAGATGCTTTCCTAAGGGAAGAGTTACTGAAAGTGCCCAGGAAAGTCCCCTTCATGATTACGAGACCAGGTAGCAAAAACATATACCTCTTCTTCCAAGGCTGTTTAAGTTGGAGGGCGATTTTGGTTTTGGTGTCCATCTCCATGAGAGATGGTGTTTTGCAAAATCTCGTTTATAAGAAAACCATTTTAAAATTGGAAAGGCAGTCTGGGAGTTTTACCCATTATTGAACCCAAGAAGAGTTCCTTTGCAGACCTTGATGTTATGATTTTTAGAAAATATTAGAAATTGCACAGAGGATATGCAATGAACAATATGTATAAAGTAAAACCACGGTTTCACTGGCAATTTACTGTTCCTCATCTTTCACAAGTTGAACAAGTTGCACCTACTTTATGGCACCCACTTGCTCCGTTAACAAAAATACAGGTATTCCAAAATACCTGTATATTCCAAAATAGAAACAATTATGAAATACCACAAGCCCTAACAAAATGTCCATCCTTTTACAACTCTCCTGTGAAAAGGAAGTTTCCTTCCCTAGGCAAGAATGCCGGAAAAAAGTGCAGGCTGCAGTCTCAGAAGCTGGTGGTGTACTCGTTCCTTGTGCTGGCGCTGGTCTCTGTGTAGCCACTAGCATCTTTTGTTACTGTGAAAGCCCTTTCTGCAGCTCGGCGTGGCAACAGCAGCTTGTAGGCTGCTGTCCTGTACTTCTTTGACATGAGGTTGTAGAGGACAGGGTTGATGGATGCACTCAGGTAGAAAAGCTGCAGAGCAAATATGTTAAAGTATTGGGAGAACAGCATCGTCCTCATGTCTCGGGTGTTTATAAATATGATCCTGCCAATGTGGAAAGGCAACCAGCAAATTACAAAGGCCAGAACCACCACAGCTATAAGACAAAATAACATATGCGGCAGTTAAGGAGTGAGTTAACTTTTCAACCGTACAGTAAACTAAATTTTATGCGGCGATTTTGCAGGTTCTTCTAATTGATACAATGATATGTAGAAATAATGGCAGTAAATTGTTGGAAAATCATGAAAATGGAAATAGCATCAAGTCTGACTGTTAGTCTTTGGATTAAAAGGTAACTGGTAAAATCTTAAGCTTAACAGTGAGATGAGTTTGCTGAGCAAAATGTAAACAACCAACAGTGGCATAACATCCATATAACAGCAGGCACAACAGAGATCCCCCTCGGCAGTGTCTGTAATGCCACGTATGCGATATGAAAACAAAACTCAGAATAAGAAGAGGTGTTTTTGAGGAAGCTCCACAACAGCTCCATTCACTGCAGAGTTGTTTAAATCACCAAAAAAGACCAGTGCTCCTACAGAATTTGCACTATTGTGGTGGGATGGGATCTAATGTAAAGACCTTACGGCGTAGCTGGGCTATTGATTTTTTTCCACTGAAGCTCCAACACATATCCCCAGACAATTACTGCTGGAGACATTTTACTAGATGGATCTCTAGCCTGAGTCACTTCAGCTGTTCTCCTGGGCTTGTGTTGCATTTTAGCACAACGCAAACAAATACAAACACTTTTGCAATAGCAACACAGCAGGAGCAGATGAGGAACAATTAAATAAGTGCATTACTGTATCCATGTTTTTAACTATTTTTGTTTATAAATGCATGTAAGTAAAACAATAATTTGTGGAGCATTCTCTGTGTTTCTCAGAGATTAAAAAAAAAGGGCTATAGCCAAAGAAAGTTTACATCTGAAATACACCACAAACACAGTGCTCCTGGCTCTTCGAGATAAGGGAGCATTGGTCTGGTTCAGTGGGTTCTGAGGAGATCACGGATATGGGTGTTTCTGTTGGAAAATCTTGTGCCTGCATCAATGTAAATACCTTCCTCAATAAAGTCAGCAAAAATTTTCTCAGGCTTATTAGTTCCTTTCCTTTGTGATACACTACTTCCATCCAGCTGATTACCTGATCCTTGATTTACTAGCTGATCCTTGGTAAAAGAAGTCTCCTGTGTAGCATGTAAAAACTGCACTAAAGGTATAAAGAAAAAATAACAAGGCCATTGTTTTTATGCTGCTTAGTTGGATTTCTTTTTTCATTCCTTTCCCTTCCTTTCTTCCCCCCTTCAGATTGGTCACTGCTTACAAACTTTAAAGCCCCAGAGCCGACTGTGATCTCTACCCTTCCAGAGCCTGATACTGGGTTAATATATGACTAAAAAAATAAACTAAAAATGAACAGCATCCTACATCTGTAGGAAGTGTTTTGGTATTATATGAGTTGTCTTCAAACAGCTCATAGGGGTTAAGTTTCTTTTTTTCAGCACCCTTGGGTAACCAATGGATTTACTCCTACGAGAGCTACAAATGACCACTAAGGAAATCAAACTTATTTTTCAGAAGTAGAAATTTTTGTGCAGAGGTGTTGCTGCCCACTGGAAGGGACTACTGATGTTACAGTTTTACTGAAGTTGCAGACTACCTTGTACTCAGTTGTGGCTGGTAAAATTTAGAAAAAGGGTATTTCTACAGAAGGCAGTCGTGCTGCTAGATGTGCAATCCTACACGAGTGAAGCCTCAGTTGTGAAGGAGCGAAATCCCTGCCGTGGCAGTTCCCGGGAGCACTGGTGGGCTCAGCATCATGGCAAGGATGTCCCCCTATCCTATTCCCTATCCTGCTCGGGAGCTGCAGGTGCTTCAGCCCTGGTTCTAACCCCAGCCACGGCCCCCTAGCCCTGGTCCTAGCCCCAGCCATAGCCCGGGGGAAATGGCAGAGGGACTCACCCAAGATCTTGACTGTTTGGCGGTGCCCCTTCTCCCGGAGGACCGAGCCGGGCCCCCGCAGGCGGGTGTTGCTCCGCCACAGCTCCCGGCCGATGAAGCCGTAGAGGACGCTGAGGCAGATGACGGGCAGGACGAAGTAGGAGGTGGTGACCCAGAACATGGTGGCCAGCAGGCCGGACTGCAAGGCCTGGGGGGTGGGCCTGCACTCGCGGCTGAAGTCGGTGTGGTTTTCGGGCTGCTCCACGCCGACCAGGAAGAAGAAGGGGCTGGCGGAGAGGAAGGCGAAGGCCCAGAGGACGCCGACGACGGCCTTCACCCGGCGCTTCGTGACGACCACCTTGGCCTTGAGGGGGAAGCAGATGGCGAGGTAGCGCTCCACGGTGAGGGCGGTGATGTGGAGGAGGGTGCAGTAGGTGCAGCCCTCACTGAGGTAGTGGGAGAGGCGGCACAGCAGCTGCCCGAAAATCCAGGGCCGGGAGCGCCAGAGGCGGTAGAGGTCGAAGGGCAGCCCCAAGAGGATGAGCAGGTCTGAGACGGCCATGCTGCCCAGGTAGAGATTGGTGGTGGTCTTCATGTCGCGGTAGCTGCGGATGACCAGCACCGTGAGGACGTTGCCCGCCACGCCGAGCACGAAGAGCCCCAGGCAGATGGCTGTGATGGGAACGAGCACCCACAGGGGCACCGCCAGGCACAGTCGCTCGTCGCAGGGTGGCCACGGCCACGGCCACGGCTCGCCCTCGCTGCCGTTCCCGCCGCCGCCGCTGCCCCGCATCCCGCCGGGGGACGCGCCGTGCCCGGGGCAGTACCGCTCCTTCCCCTGGCCGCGTCCCCGCCCCCGGCGGGCGTCCTGCCGCCCGCAGGTACCGCGCCCCCGCCCCGCCCCGCGGTCCCGTCAGGGAGGGAGGGAGGGAGGGAGGGAAGGGAGAGGAGCGGCGGCGGAGCGCGCACAGGACTGACCACCAGCAGCGAAAAAGAAGGTACTTTTATTGTCCACAGACTCTTAAAGGTACTTTGCTACATCGTTTTATGTATTTTCTATCAGACTATACAGATTCGTCTTCATGGAGCCCGACGTTGTACCACCGTAAAGTGATATGTTTGGTAGTGTATCTATAGAGTTTTAAAAACTTTAGAGCTTTTCTTTTTCTTTTATTTATTTATTTTTGGAATGTACAGTATATGAGGTAAAATTAAGATTACATTAAAAACTGTATTCAATGCAGTAATATGCACTGAGGCTCAAATGGCAAATACACTATTAAATGACTATCAAAAATAGGAGCTCATTTGAATTTTACTATGAAAAACGTAGGTCACTGCAGGTTACCTGCAGTAACAAATCTTACCGTTTTAGACATTCAACCATAAGAAATCTCTGGGCTGTGACACGCAACCTCATTTGCACTGCCAAACATGGCACTTTTAAGAAGGTTCTAGAAAACATCAGTTATCGTGGTATCCTGTGGGAAGTTATCAGCCTATTAGTACAAACAACAAATTCGAAATAAAATGTAAACATACAGTACATTTTAAAGACAGATCATTCTCGCCACATGGAGGCCAAGTTCTTTGCCATTTCTTTTTTTTTTCTTTAAAAATGGAACTCAACAACATTATTCTACAGCACAGATCGTTGGACGTATAAACAATTACAATACATGCCCGTTCTAATATAAGAGAAATTCTTCAGAGATCTTCAAAGCACAAGACAGAGGTTCCTTTTTTATTATTATTAAGACTGACAGAAGTGTTTAATACCATTAAAAATGCTAAACTGAACACAACTAGAAGCCATTAATGATCCACTATCTTGTAACTCAAATAAATTAAAAATAGCTAATTACAAAGTGTATAACAAATAACATAAGTGTGATGAGACAAGGATTTTTTTTTTAAAGATAAGTTTCACTACAAGCTTTGTGTCACTGGCAGTCATTGACATCTAGCAAGATGTTCAATGGGATACTTGTTAAAGTTCAGTCTGGTCATTCAAGAACTCACAAATGCAAGCTCACAAAACATTGATGAGTTATGCCATTGCAAAGTGCTCTAATGCAACATTAACTACATGCAATCAACAATTTGGTACAGTATCCAAAGAGACATTACATTAAACATTAGGATCTCAAGAAAAAAGCAGCTTTAAGTTTTCTGGTGCAAATTACTACACTTCGTCTTCTGATTTGGTGCCCCAAAGAAAAGAAAGAAAGAAAGTAAAAAAAAAAGAAAGAAAGAAAACAAATAAACAAAGGCAGTGCTTGTTTCTGGTGGATATGGCAAGTGAATGTTGGGGAAACAGCAAAAATTCAATAATGAGTTTTATCTCAAAAATCTATTAACTAGCCAAAATCAGAGGGTACAGACATCGGTATAAACTGCATCCAGTCAAAGGTCAGCTTCAGAAATGTGTTTTGCAATTTAAATAAGTCGTCTAAGAAGTTCTCTCACACCCTCCCTTCTATATTCAGAAGTAAGAGGCATTTTTGTAAGTAAACATCAAATCCTGGGGGTAAGATAAACCACTTGTGCCATCTCCGTGTAGTCTTTCGAAAACATCTACTTGCAGTGAAGAACTCCACATTTATCAGGTAAGAAGCTTCCTTCATGCATGCTCTTCCATCGAATTTATTATTTGCTGCCTGAGAAAAGCCCCTTCTGTTTTTCAGCATAAATCCTGCTTCCCAAATAATTAAGACAAATGAGGAGGTAGAAATACAGCGCTAAATTGCTTTCACAGCATCAGATTAATATTGTATACAGCACAAGTTTGTTAGTGTAAGTTTTAAATGCGATTTACACATTCTTCCCTGTTATGGTAGCAACCCTTAGAAGTGTGGGGCAGGAAATCATCTTTACACTCGTGTTTAATGGTCAAACCCTTTTCATTAAACACTGTGTGCCTGCCCCATATTGAGTTTGTACTGCAAGAAGGCATATAAAGAAAAGATTATATTTCTGTGGCTTGCATTTTAATAATGTGTCAGCCTATACCTATGACTAAGTGTTTTAAAGTGGCTGAAAAGTTTGCATCAGTCTCAATGCCGGTGCTAAATGCCTGTTTTTGTAAAAGCAAGAGAACAGAATTACTTTTAGATTATGAGAAAGTAAAATGTAATGGGCAGCATTATAAAATAGATTTCTTTTCTTCACTTTATGACGAAGTACTGAATGATAACAGCAATCAGAATGGAAAAGATAGCAAAAAGTGCAAGGATGACAGCAGCACACACTTGGTCGCTCTGTGACCATTGTGTCCTTGTGGTTTGCACAGTGTCCTTGTTGGTGCTTGCCGGTGGTTCAGTCCTCTGAGAGATGAATAGCACTGGTGCACTGTAGGGGCCTACCAGGTCCTGGTGACCTGTAGTCTCTTGGCACTGTCGAATGGCACATGCGCGGAAACGGTATTCACAGTTCAGCTGAAGGCCTGTGTATCGGAATGAGCAGTCTGGACCCTTATAGATCTGGCAGTGAAGGAGAACCAAAAAAGATACATCAAGTAAAAAGTCCTATATACATATGTATCTCAGTATGGTTGATGACAACTCACCAGTGTTTTCACCCGTGCAAGAAGCTCAAACATGCAATTTAAATGCCAGATAAACTCTCCAGTCCTTTTAGTGAAACACAAGACCTACATTTGCTTTTATGGACTGATGAGTACACACCAAATAAACTCTGTCAGAAACCCCAGTGTTAAGGTATTTTAGTGACCCCTTATAATTAGATGTAATATACAATATTGTTATCATGTGATTTTAGGCAGTTAACTCTGTCTAAACCTAATTCAATAAGTCTAATATGATCCAACATACTTTGTTGTAGTTAAGATATCGTGTATTTAAAATATTATAATTTATCCCAATAAACACTGTATCAGGAAAGCTGCAAGGAATCCTCTCAGTGATTCTTAATTTCATCATATTCCCAAGACAGGCATGACTTATGAGAGTGTTCTCCAAAGGTGTCTCAGTTGGCTGGTTAACATGAGTTCACAACTCTTCAGCATGGAGTGCCTAATTCAGTGAAATCTAAATGCTGGTTTCTCAAATTAAATAAATCTGCAGCTACATAAAGGTCCTGTGAAAGCCAATAAAAACTCATGTAGGCACAGTTACAGGTACATCAATAGGTACTGAGCTATTATGTGGGTAGCACAGTACAATTTGATTTCTCTCTTAAAATCCCTTCACCCTCCTACCTCCCAATATCTGGATTTGCTTTATTTAACTGGTAGCAGGATACAGAAATATCACATCACGCAAGACCTTTCCCTACAGTTACCATACTGTTAGACAGTATTTCACAAATGCAAACCACTGACCATTCAATGAAAGAAGGAGGAAATCCCTTCCAGTTCTGCTGTTTGAAGAGCTCTTGCTGACCTTTACTGGAATCTACAACCTAGAGACTTTTCTTTCTGAGGCAGGTCATCGGAAGTGCAGCTTCCTCAAAATTCTGCTAATTTGGATCATGTGTTTGGTAGTGAGCAAACAGGCCACTGACACACATCCTACTCCAGCTACTGCTACGCCAGCTGGCAGGGGTTACTGCCCTCAGCTGCTTGTCCTCAGTGCCTTGCCAAAAGTTGCTTTTCCCTCAAATGTATTTGCTGGGGTATTTATATGGTTGCTTCCTAATGCCTTTAAGAGCTTAGACTGATGTATGTAGCTCATACAGCAGATTACTAACTTATTTTGACTCTAGCATGGAAGAAGCAATGACATGAACAATCTGGACAATGCATCAGGGAGAAGAAGGAGAGGAGACTGAAATTTTGGCAGGGAAATGGTAGGAAACAGCTCAACCTTTGTAGTTACAGCACGCCCTGCTGCTGAAATGGTCCTATGGTGAAAACCTAATCACTGAATTATATTAAAAAAGTTTCCTACAACTGAATGTCTACATTGCCTAAGTAGGGGGCTTTCCTCTGCAATTCTCTGCAAAAAAGTATGACTTGAACAAAATCAATGCTTTTATAATATTGTTTACTGCCTTCAAACAGCTCTTAGTGAAAAGAGAACCCTTTGCTCCTTTTCTCCTCAGTCTCAATTATGTACCATTGGGTGAAAGGTTTCTTTTTGTCAGTTGTTCCCATTAATGGATGACTTCCTCACCACTCAAGATGTCAAGTTGTAAACATCAGTGTAACCCAGAGAGGCTGCAACTTACTGCAGAATTTGTATTACTTAAATCTCCTTTCTATGTGATGATGGCTTTAAGAGATACTACCTTATATTATTTAGTAACAGAAAGTTACCATGGTGACTAAAAATGTACTGGAATACAATCTTTAGTAAACTAATTTTACTGAACTTGTTATCACAAATAGTAATTGAAGAAAAATACAATAACTTAAACACATCATACCTGTTTGAATTCTGAGTCTTTTCCCACCATGACCTGAAGACAGTAGATAACTGGATCACCCTTCATGGGCTGCAGAACCTCCCATGTGATTTCACAAGAGTGATCATTTATTCTCTCTATCCTTGGTGCTGAAGGAAGTAAATACAAAGGTGACAGCTACCTCTGCTTTCATCATCGTGTAATGTTATATTCTAGTGACCCATAAAATTCTATATTCTACCTGCTATTTTGTCTCAGCGAAACACAAGATTCAGAATCAAATCTATTCTTCCTCCAGAGTTTTCTGGAGCAACAACTAACAATTCACATAGGTCTCTACTGCTAGTTCAGTTATCATTCAAGAGAAAGCAAGGGAAATTTGGTGACCATAAGTGTGCATCATGTAAAAAAAAAAAAAAAAAAAAA